CGGGAGGGGGGAAAATCTCCGGGCGCAGGGGAGTCTGTGGGACGGGCACCCTCGCCCAGCTGAGCGCTGTCCCTGGGCACTGGCACGGAGGTTTGCACCCTTTCGGCACCCAGGGGTTGCACCAGGCGTCTTAGGATGGGTGCTCGGCTAATTCACTTGGGCTGGAGGGGTTCCTAATGCACCATCAGACCGAAGCGTCTGCACAGCCCAGGAGTGTCAGTGACCAAAAGAAGAATTTTCTGCTTTCTGCAGTTGCATTGGCTGGGTTAAGTTTATACATACATATGAGTGTGTGTATTTGCCTAAAGACCTTGCATTGTTTTGTGTCCAAAGTGATTGTGTCTTTAGCCTTCCAACCACACGTGCATCCACAACTGCCCTCCCATGTACCTTGTGAACCTTGTACAGTGTATTCCAGTTCAGCTTGATAGTGCTTTTAGAGGGGCAGGTGAAGTGATGAGAGATGGACAGAAGAGAAGCAAAATTGTACACATGTCCCCTCTCCCCCCTTTGCCCAAGAATACACACAGCAGAGCATTCTTTTAAATGTCCTGGTAAAACGTGGAACTTCCACTGGAGCTCAACTCACCTGGACCACCCTAGATAGTCCTAGAAAATACTTTTTTTTGCAAACCATGGTTTGTGTGGTAATAACAAGGAGTTGTAAGGCAAACTTAGTTAAAGAGCTATAACTGTATCCAATAATTAGTGACATCATATGGCAAAACTACACACATTTCCTATTGTCATTTTCACGCAAAAGCCTCAAATTATTTTACACAAGTAGATGCATTTTGCCACAACTACTGACAAATGGGGAAACTGAGTCATCTGGGCAGAAGTATGAGCAGAATTGGGGTACCTTGGTGCTCTGACTGTTAACGTAGCAATTCTATCATATAAAAGATGAAGTTTGTATTGTATTTGAATTATATTTACAAGATAATTTTTTGATGCTGTAACCTTCTGTTCTGGAGGTTCTTTCATCAGCATATGTGCCTGATCTCAAAAAGACCCTGTATGGTATTGCAAGGGTGTCAGAGTGACACAGAGTGTCAGCACTGAGGTTTGGGAGATCCTGGTCCAAACTAGGGAGGAGGGAGGCTGCAGTCTGCCCTGCTTCCCATTACACATTGCTTTATAATTCCAACCACGTTACTAATGCAGCTTTGGGTTGAGCAAGGGCTGAATGCCTCTCACAGTGGTCCTGTTTCTGCATCCCAGCAGAGGGTAGATCACAAGCATAGGTCAGGTGATGAAATTTACAAATTAAACTTGGTGAGGGGGTAAATAACTCAGCTGAAAGAGCCAGCTGGACAAATAATCCAGCTCCAGAGATCTCCCCTTACTACTCTGTCTGATATTACTACACAGTAAATTTAGCTAGAAGCTTAAGGGAATCAGTGC